TCTGGCCATGCATGTTGCAGTTGGATGGTTCCTGCTAGGCTACAGTCATGGGGCTAGCCACCTGTCTATCATCGTTAAGTTTTAGTTCCGCCCTTTTTTCCAGGTTCAAGAGGGAAAGGAAACCATTTTAGTTCAGTCTTACAGTTAGAAGCTCAGCTACAGGACGTGAAAGTTTTCTACCTGTAGAGAAGCTTAGTTCCTTGCAAAGTCCGGGGGAAAACTGTCCCAAAAGCTCTGTCTGGGGAATTCACAGCCTCACAGCTTTAAGAACAGTCACTAAAGAAAGGCTTTTAAGAGAAACAGCTTTACAACGCAACCCTCGTTGGGGTTAGAGAAACGGACCTACAACTTTCGTGGGAAAAATCCTAAGGACTCCAGCTGGAAATTCTTCAGAGCCTTGGCTGGTAGGTCTACTCGGGTACCCAAGAAGCAATTTGGAGCCGGGAGTAGGGCCCACACCAGCAAAACCTAGAAAGCAGATTGCCCAGGGAGGAGTCGAAAAGGGTTTTCCTCGTAAAGGAAATAAATAGTTCTCCAAGCAAGTTGCCTGTCCATTGTAGACAAGTTACGAAGCATTTGTTTGATTTGTTGAAGATCTAAGATTGTTTGTTGAAGACCAAAACAATAATAAAGAACTTCGTTAAACTTTTAAGCATCTAAAGACTTTGTATAGGAAAATACATAGGGCCTCTCAACCGAGGCACCCCGGCTTCCCGCTAGGCACAAAGAGCATGTCCTGTTCAAAAGCCAATTGCTATAGGCCCAGCGCGCGACAGCACACTCTCCCTTTTGAAGCAATACTCTCATTCGCTTCTTGCAACCAGCAAGAAGGCCTTTCCTTTGCCCTTTCATGGTGGGTTCTGTTGGGTTGCAGGGCATGGACTTCTCCTTCCTTCCCTCCATTAAATAATAATAATAATTGTTATCGTTACTATTATTGTATTTATTTATTGAACTCTCCCTTTTATATTAATGCACCCATTCACTTCTTGCAATCAGTAAAAAAGCTCACTACCTCTGAGGATGCTTGCCATAGATGCAGGCGAAACGTCAGGAGAGAATGCCTCTAGAACATGGCCATACAGCCCGAAAAAACCTACAACAACCCAGTGATTCCGGCCATGAAAGCCTTCGACAATACAGTAAAAAGGCTTTTCCTTTGCCCTTTAATTGTGGGTTCTGTTGTCTTGCAGGTCATAGACTTCTCCTTCCTTCCCTGCATTAAATAATAATAATAATAATAATAATAATAATAATAATAATAATAGTATTTGTGCTGGCACAGCAGTGCCAGGAGATTTGAATTCCTTTTTTTGCATTGCTAGTTTGCATGAATCGATTTAAACCATGCATTTTGCAATCAGGTAGCTTCCCCAGGTTGCAGTCATAGGTCCAGTAGCCTGTCAATCATCGTGAGAGCCTTTAGGCCCGCCCCTTTCCCCAGGGTTTTGGAGGGAAAGGAGGGCTTTTGTTCAGTCTCACTGTTTTGGAGCCTAACAGTAGGACGTATTGGTGTCTCTCTCCCATTTATTATTTATTATTTATTTATTTAGACCATTTCTACCCCGCCCTTCTCGCCCCCGAGCGGGGACTCAGGGCGGCTAACACAGGCAACTATTCAATGCCAACAGTATCAAAACAACAATATAAAACAGCAATATAAACCCCATTGCATAACAATTAAACAGTGATATTAATTAAAATTACATAACCACATAGAACAGATCACAGAATCACAGGTCATAAACCATTTCCCATTTTCAAACAGTCCTATTGTCCGAGTTCAGTGCCTAAAGTGCTGTTGTGCCCACTAGCCAAAGGCCTGGCTCCAAAACCACGTCTTTCGCTTTTTCCTAAAAGTAAGGAGGGAGGACTCCGATCTAATCTCGCTGGGGAGCGAATTCCATAAGCGGGGGGGTCACCACCGAGAAGGCCCTGTCCCTCGTCCCCACCAGACGTGTTTGAGACGCTGGTGGGACCGAGAGCAGGGCCTCCCTAGTAGATCTTAAATTACGAGGTGGAACATAGAGAGAGATACGTTCGATAAGTAAGCTAGAAAGGAACAGTTTACCACCAGTTGCCTGCCCTCTTGTTGGCAGATTGAGGAAGCTACCGGTTTTCCAAAGTTATAGTGTTTAATTCATTTGTTAGAAGATTTAAGCCCAAATAAAGAACTTTGTTGAACTTATCTTGAGCCTCAATAGAACTTTGTGTTGGGAAGCCTAAAGGGCCCTTCAGCCGAGGCACCCCAGAGTCCTGTTTACAGAGAGCACGTCCTGTAAACAGACATTATTTCAGGCCCAGCGTGCGACAGCACAGTATTTATTATTTATTTAAAACTTTTGTATCCCGATCTTCTCTACCTCCGTAGAGGTCAGGAGGGAGGCGACAGATCTGATCTCAATCGGAAGAGGATTCCATAGCTGGGGGGCCACCACAGAAAAGGCCCTGTCTCTCGTCCCCACCAGACACGATTGCGAACTCTCCCTTTTATATCAATGCTCCCATTTGCTTCTTGCAATCAGTAAGAAGGCCTTTCCTTTGCTCTTCCATGGTGGGTTCTGTTGGCTTGCAGGGCATGGACCTCTCCTTCCTTCCTAGCTCTTTCTCTCTGCACCAAACATTGCAAAGTAAATGTTCCTTCCTCAATACAGTGCAAAGTAAATCAATGTCGGGAGCTGGAAGCTGCAAAGAAAAAAGCCATTGTTTGGCCTAAAGTTGGAAGGGAGGAGCTGGAGCGAGAAGACAATGTCTTTGAGGCCGTACTGCATGTCTTTCATGGCTGGGAGCAATGAGGACTTTTGTAGAATCGCCGGTGATAAATCATAATGCTTTAACAGCATCCTCCTCTTTTTTCGGACAGTGGCCTATGAGTGGCTCCGGATCCTCAGTCCACAAGCTTCTGCGATTGAACTCCTTTCTCATCTGCAATGCTCAGATTTCATTATTATTACACAGATTTCATTATTGTTTGGGAGAAAAAAATCAATTTTAAAATTGTACAAAATGCATAAGGTTGTGGGTGAACTACAACTCCCTGGAAAGGAGGAAATCTCCAGTTGAAAAGACCCGTATCAAAAGACACTATTTGCATGGACAATAACAAAGGACCGTGACCTCTGGGCTCGGAGWTGGTCCCCCAGAGGAAGTGGTCATTTGGCAATTATGATCATATCGCAATAGGATGGAGGGGGCCTTTGGAAAGCCGCACCTCTTCCTAATCTGTCACCCATTCARMTTTTCTTTCACTAAAGACTTCAGCCAAAGTTCCCCGTTGTTCCCATATCTCCGCACTGGAAAAATACGGATCTTGGCAGGATCGYCAAACATCAATGTTTATTATAGCCACTCATACACAATAGCCAGACTGGCTCGCAGGCCCTCAGAACTCGCTGGTCATTTGGACATCCGAAAATCTCCATAATCCACTCAAAAACGCATTGTTTTCCTCTCGTCCCACCTCCCTCTCTCCTTATTCRTCAGGACGCCRAGGCGGCAGAAGCCCAGCAATTGGCCCAGACGCTCGGGAGGTGGCCAAGCCTCCTCCCAGCTGTAGAGTGCCAGCCAATTATCATCGAGYCGGCAGAGGGGCGGGGAATGGGAGATTCAAACCTGGCAACTCTGTTTCTGTATAAAAAAGGCTTTTATTTGTACACATGTTATGTTCATCTTGGCGAAATATTGCTGCTTTGCATCCTTTTCAGCTGAATCGCAATAAAATCATCTCGGTGGCGCTTCCTTCAACTTTGGTGAGATTTCTTTTGGGAACTTAGAAAAAACCTTTTAAATTGGGCTTCTCTTTGCTCACCATTGTAGCGAGCCCTCTTTGGTGGGTCTGCAGGGTCTCTCCTTCAGGGCCAGACCCTTTTAAATTCCTCCATGATTTCACCATCAGTATTTAAATGTTGTTATGTTGGGCAAGTTTACTCAGGTTGCATCATCAGTGGGGTTCAGTGTGCTCTCTGGCTGTAGGGTAAACTACAACTCCCATTATGGTGAGTCTGTCCCCTCAAACCCCTCCTGTAGGTTGAGTTAGTCACGAGGGTTCTGTATGCCAAGTCTGGTCCAGGTCCATCATTGGTGGAGGTCACTGTTTCTCTGGTTGTGGGTGAACTACAACTCCCAGAAAGGAAAGTTAGTTCTCCCAAAACTCTCCAGTAATCACATTTCAGCTTATCAGGTCTGTGTGCCAGGTCCATCATTGGTGGAGGTCATTGTGTCTCTGATTGAACTACAACTCCCAGAAAGGAAAGTTAATTCTCCCAAAACCCTCCAGTAATCACATTTCGGCTTATCAGGTCTGTGTACCAAGTTTGGTCCAAATCCATCAGAGTTTGGGTTCACAGTGCTCTCTGGAGTAGGTGAACTACAACTCCCCCAAATCAAGACCGTCAGTATTATTTGCTGGTCATGGGGTCTCCGTGTGCCAAGTTTGGTCCAATTCCATCTTTGGTGGAGTTCAGAGTGCTCATTGATTGCAGGTGAACTATAAATCCCAGTACATACAACTTCAAAAATTTCCAGTCCGATTCCTCTCAAAACCCAACAGTATTCAAATGTGGGCATAAACCTACAGCCTTGGTGTGTAGTGTTGTTCTGAGCAAGGTGAATCTATCCTGAGCTGCGACAATACTGGGTTTGCTGTCGATCCTGGCTAATCTCCAGCCATCTATTCTTCAGCTCCTTATCTGACTGCTCATTATAATTCCCAGGTGTCAGATTGTTTTCCAAACCCAAATCTTGAGCTTACAGAGAGAGGGAGTGAACTATCATTGCTAGGCCCAGCAGGAATATTCTCATGAGAAACTGTCCTTTGCACTGGGGACTCTCTGTCATTGTCTGTATGAGAATCATTGACCAAACCATCTCCATCTTGTACCTCAGCCACGGCAACATCATTTCCCACATCAGGATCCTGGGAGAACCTATATAGGCTTGGGATTGGGTGGTTTATCTGGACCTGTTTCAACCATACTTCTTCTTTCTTTGGAAACATGCAGGTTCTGGGCTGCTTGGTGTGGGCCTTGATCGCAGACACATACTACCAGCCCTATCCTTCCTATGGCTGGGTGATGTTCGTGGCCATCTTCTTCTGGCTGGTGACCGTCATCATCTTCGGCATGTATCTCTTGAAGCTCCAGGCCAAGCTCTACATGATCCCTTGGCCACTTGTGGTGAGTACAGCGGGATTAGGGAGACAGCGGGATTATCCCATAACTGCTTTTGGTCAGAACTTTCCAAACTGTATGTTGCAACACATAAGTGTGTTACCTGCAGTGTGTAAGCCACCTCACTACAAAAGTCAACATTGACACTGAAATTCAACACTGCTTGAGCTTTGCGAGTGCAGCATTTTTCCGAATGAAGCAGAGAGTGTTTGAGGACCGGGACATCCATAGGGAGACCAAGGGGCTTGTTTATAAAGCTATTGTCCTCCCAACCCTGCTATACGCTTGCAAGACGTGGACTGTCTACAGAGGTCACATGCAACTCCTGGGACGATTCCATCAGCGCTGCCTCCGGAAAATCCTGCAAATCTCTTCGGAAGACAAAAGAATAAATGTCAGCGTGTTGGAAGAAGCAAAGTCCACCAACACTGAAGCGATGGTCCTCCACCATCAACTCCGCTGGACCAGCCATGTTGTCCAGATGCCCAACCACCGTCTCCCAGAGCAGTTGCTCTACTCCGAACTCAAGAACAGGAAAGGGAATGTTGGAGGACAGGAAAAGAGATGTAAAGATGGGCTCAAAGCCAACGTTAAACACTTTGTCATGGACACGGAGAACTGGGAAGCTCTGTCCCCTGAGCGCTCCAGCTGGAGGTCAGCTGTAACCAGCAGTGCTGCAGAATTTGCACGAATGGAGAGCAAAAGAGAGAAACGTGCCAGGAGGAAGGTGCGTCAAGTCAACCCCGACCGGAACCGCCTTCTTCCTGGAAACTGATGCCCTCACTGTGGAAGAAGATGCAGATCAAGAATAGGGCTCCCCAGTCACCTACGGACCTACCACCAGGATACTACACTTGGAGGACTATCATCCTTGAACTGCGAGGGATTGCCTAAGTAAGTAAGTAAGTAAGTAAGTAAGTAAGTAAGTAAGTGTGTCACATTAACATAACGAAATATGTCAAAAACCGTGTGTTGTCAAAGGCTTTCATGGCCAGAATCACTGGGTTGGTGTGAGTTTCTCAGGCTGTATGACCATGTTCCAGCAGCATTCGCTCCTGATATTTCGCCTACACCTGTGCCAGCATCTTCAGAGGTCTGTTGGAAGTGAAGCAAGTGAAATGTATACAAATATACCCATGGAATAATGTCCAGGATGGGAGAAGGAACCCTTGTCTGTTTATAGCAAAGGTGAATGTTGCAATGAGCAAGCTTGAATAGCATTGAGTAACTATGAAGCTGCAAAGTTCAGCAGTGGAACTCTCTGCCCCAGAGAGTGTGGTGGAGCTCCTTCTTTGGAAGCTTTTAAACAGAGGCTGGATGGCCATCTGTCAGGGGTGCTTTGAATGCAATATTCCTGCTTCTTGGCAGGGTTGGACTGGATGGCCCATGAGGTCTCTTCCAACTCTATGATTCTATGATTCTATGAGGGTATAGAGGCAGCCTGGCTGTTGTTGCCTGGAGGCACCCCAATTGGAGTTTCCCTGTTTCTGTGTGGTACTTAGGCAAATCTTCATTGTCTGAGTAGGATTGTCTTCCAAGTTCAGTGTCCTGGTGGTGGGTCCGTAGGTGGCTGTGGAGTCCGATTCCTGATCTGCATCTTCTCCCACAGTGAGGGCATCGGTTTCCAGGTGGAAGGCGGTCCCGGTCGGGGTTGGCTTGACGCACCTTCTTCTTGGCATGTTTCTCTCTTTCGCTCTCCATTCGTGCCTCTTCAAATTCTGCAGCACTGCTGGTCACAGCTGACCTCCAACTGGATCACTCAAGGGCCAGGGCTTCCTAGTTCTCAGTGTCTATGCCAGAGTTTTTAAGGTTGGCTTTGAGCCCATCTTTAAATTTCTTTTCCTGTCCACCAACGTTCCTGTTTTCCATTATTGAGTTCAGAGCAGAGTAATTGCTTTGGGAGATGGTGGTTGGGCATCCGGACAACGTGGCTGGTTCAGTGGAGTTGATGGCGGAGGACCATCGCTTCAATGCTGGTGGTCTTTGCTTCTTCCAGCATGCTGACATTTGTCCGCTTGTCTTCCCAAGAGATTTGCAGGATTTTCCGGAGGCAGCGCTGATGGAATCATTCCAGGAGTTGCATGTGACGTCTGTAGACAGTCCACGTTTCGCAGGCGTATAGCAGGGTTGAGAGGACAATAGCTTTATAGACAAGCACCTTGGTATCCCTACGGATGTCCTGGTCCTCAAACACTCTCTGCTTCACTCAGAAAAATGCTGCACTCGCAGAGCTCAGGCGATGTTGTATTTCAGTGTCGATTTTGACTTTGGTGGAGAGGTGGCTGCCAAGGGAGCGGAAATGGTCAATATTTTCTAATGTTACACCATTAAGCTGTATTTCTGGCATTGGAGAGGGATTGGCTGGTGACTGCTGGAAGAGCACTTTGGTTTTCTCGATGTTCAATGACAGGCCGAGCTTCTCGTATGCTTCTGCAAAGGTGTTTAGAGTGGCTTGTAGGTCTTCTTCTGAATGGGCACAGATGACATTGTCATCAGCCCTAAACGGTTCCGGCCCAAGCTACCTATCTGACCGCATCTCTGCCTATGAACCCACCAGGACTTTGAGATCTTCCGGGGAGACCCTGCTCTCGATCCCGCCTGCTTCTCAAGCTCGGCTGGCGGGGACGAGAGATAGGGCCTTCTCGGTGGTGGCTCCTCGGCTGTGGAACGCCCTTCCTACGGACATTAGACTAGCACCATCTCTAATGGTATTCCGCAAAAAGGTGAATACCTGGATGTTTGTGCAGGCGTTTGAGTAATTTAGTGCAATCTGGTAATGGAACATAGGAATGGAACAATGGACGACGAACCTGGACTACGCTTGGATGATGAGAAGATTGGGTACGGTTGTTTTTTGTAATAATTGTGCATTGTAATTGCTTATTGGTAATTTATGGATAATGTGTTAAGTCAATTGTTATATGTTGTATGGAACCACTGCTGTTTCTACTGTTTTTACTGTTTGTGAACCGCTGTGAGTCGCCTTCGGGCTTGAGATACAGCGGTATATAAGCAAAGTAAATAAGTAAATAAATAAATAATTCTGTGTGGTGTTCCGCAGAGGGTGCCTCCAGGCAACAACAGCCAGGCTACCTCTATGCAAATACCCTTACTGATTGACTTTGCAGCTTGATGGCTACTCAATGCTATACAAGCTTACTCATTGCAACACTTGCTAGCAAAACAATGCATGTCTACAAAGTGTGTCACCAACATGACATGTTTGCAAAGCTCTGCTTCAGGTAGTAGTGGGGTCTTCTTCTTTTTTGGATTCCAAAGTAAAAAAGTAGACCGGCGTCTCGATTTCGGTGACTTCCTTGCGGCCTTGGAGGAGTGTGATGCCGTCTCCTCCCCTGCATTGTGCCAGTTTTGCAGGAAGACATGAGCACGAAACACTGCTCTCATTGTTAAGACTTCCACAAGCAGCAGAACTAGAACATTTGTAAGGCAAAATAAGCATAATATTGTGTGCCAAAGGTCCAAAACAGATCAGGGAGTGGGGCTGTTGTAGGTTTTTTCGGGCTTCGCCATCATGGTTCTAGAGGCATTCTCTCCTGACGTTTCGCCTGCATCTATGGCAAGCATCCTCAGAGGTAGTGAGGTCTGTTGGAACTAGGAAAATTGGGTTTATTTATCTGTGGAATGACCAGGGTGGGACAAAGAACTCTTGTCTCTATATATTACTTGTCAGGTTCAGCACTTTTAAATTTTTGTCCATTACATTTGGCCTGGCCCCTAGGTTTTTAATTGCGTCACGGTGTCATTGTTTTACTGTTCTATTGTTTTGCGTGATGTTTTATTATTTGCTTATGAGTTTTACTGTGCATTGTATGTTGTTGTTGTCGGTGGCCTCGGCCTTTGTAAGCCGCATCGAGTCCTTCAGGAGATTTTGTGGAATGTGCGTAACGCTCGGAGTTTCCGGACCCAGCTATCATACTATCACCCATTGGTTTGCCATCAGGATCTAGAGCTAGAGCTGCTTTTTGGAGTTCTCACTTAAGACCCTCTTTCTCTCCTCTCCAGCTTCTCGTCTTCAATGTTTCGGCGGCCGTCTTGTACGCAACTGCCTTCTTCACGAGCGCAGCATCCGTGGAACCGTTCTCCTGGCCGCACTCGCCAGACTACAACAGAAGAGCGTCAGCATCGGTAGGTGAATGTGTTTCTTCTCATCTTTCCATGCATTTCCTACAAAGACCAGTTATTCCTTCCTTAATTCTGTGTTTTAGGACAGGAGTTCTCAAACTGTGCTCCGTGGAGGCTTTGGGCCTCCATGGGTGATGGAGAGATTCTCCGCGGAATCATGCTGTTTCCCATTTCCTTCTAAGAAATGCGGGGAAATTGAAGTTTTGAGTTGCCAGAAACAACAACAGTGGTGGCAGCATCCTCCCAAGCACAGGTTGCTAATAATAATAATAATAATAATAATAATAATAATAATAATAATAATAATAAATAATAAACACCTGGGCCATACCTGCCATAAGTTATACTATATCTGGGTGGCCATCTGTTGGGGGTGCTTTCATTGTGCTTTTCCTGCATGGCAGAACAGGGTTGGACTGGATGGCCCCTGGGGTTGCTAATAATAATAATAATAATAATAATAATAATAATAATAATACACCTGGGCCATACCTGCCATAAGTTATACTATATCTGGGTGGCCATCTGTTGGGGGTGCTTTCATTGTGCTTTTCCTGCATGGCAGAACAGGGTTGGACTGGATGGCCCCTGGGGTTGCTAATAATAATAATAATAATAATAATAATAATAATAATAATAATAATAAACACCTGGGCCATACCTGCCACAAGTTATACTATATCTGGGTGGCCATCTGTGGGGGGTGCTTTCATTGTGCTTTTCCTGCATAGCAGAAGAGGGTTGGACTGGATGGCCCCTGGGGTTGCTAATAATAATAATAATAATAATAATAATAATAATAATAATAATAATACACCTGGGCCATACCTGCCACAAGTTATATTATATCTGGGTGGCCATCTGTTGGGGGTGCTTCCATTGTGCTTTTCCTGCATGTCAAGTCTCCAATTCTGAGATGTCAATGTGTATCCCTGAGATGAAGCTGTTTCCTTTCCACAACGAGATTTTCCCGGATTCCAGGAATCAGACGGGGAAATTAAGCTCATGTTCAATGAAAGCACAGGCTGCGAATGCGAGATACATAAAGAATGTGCCACTTTCTTCCTTTACGCCAGCATGGTTTGTGGTCCAGTATGTTCCTCCTGCTCGCGCCCATCGCTGCCATCTGTTCTTTAATGAACATGAATGGGGATTGCGCTCTAAGGCATTGCGGTGCCAGCCATGAGCTCATGCTCAGCAAACTGGGAGAGCAGCTGAGGCTACATCATGCCTTGGATCCTTCTTGCCTTTCGCTCGCTCCAAATGCTCAGCTCTCGAAGCCAGTGCCAGCCACCAAAGTTATACGAGCAATGGAGTGATCCATCTCCTGAGGGTTAGTCCCAACTATGAGTGGGACATCATGGGCCACATGTAGCACCACAATGGTCTTTTGGGGCTTTGGAGGCCCTTCCCTGTAAGAATGACGTTCCCAAACAAAAGTGGTTAAGAATCATTGTCTGATGTGGTGTAGACATCTCATTTTTAACACATGGGATGGTTGTGCATGTTTGCATGCGCCCATTTGTGACACGGTGCATGGGGAGAATAATTGCGCATTGTTTGCACTGGTGTGCACAACTACAACTCCCAAATGACAAAATCATATTTTGAGTGATGGTCACTCCTTGTGTTGTGAGACGTTTTGTTGTCAAATTTGGTGATTTCATTCATTGGTTCTTGTGTTTTTAAGGTACTCATTATGCACAGAGCATTGATAGATAGATAGATAGATAGATAGATAGATAGATAGATAGATAGATAGATAGATAGACACACACTATATATATATATATAATATTAGCATAGTACAATATCAGTATTATATATTACTATATTGTACTATACCATTATATTGTAATATTATTAGTAATATTACATGTAATATAAAATATATAATTATATCATATTATTATTAGTATTGTATTGTATTACATAATAATATTACAAATATTATATGTATATACAATATATTATATTACATGAGAGATGAGTTCCCTCAAAAAGGAGCTCCACGTGCTCCTGAAGCAGCTTCTCCTTTTGCTTTGGCTCAGCACTACGATGACCATACTACACTAATCGAATCCGCACCATAATTCTTTTGAGGCACATTAGACCCGTGCAAATGCGGATATTTTCTGATGTACTCTTGACCCTTTCTTCTTCTTCTTCCCCCTGCAGTTCTTTGCTGCTCTGGTGATGATCGGCTACGCCGTCAGCGCCTGCCTCAGCATCCGTTCCTGGAAAGCATACAGGAGCAGCGCGGGTGCCGGCCAAGCGACGGTGCCCAATCATGCCTGAAAACTGTGGGTCATCTTGCATCAATGTGGCTCAGTGGCATGTCGCCGTGGCCTTTGGGTGCTTAGCTCTTCCTCTCCTCTCCTTCCCACGGCTTCTCCATCCCAGCTTTTGGCATGCTCCACACTAAGGATGCTGTTCTAACCCAACCTATAGCCTTTGCCCTCTTTGCCCTTGCAAGGCCTTGTCGAGCCATGGGACAGAGGGCTGTTGCCAGGCCAGAAAGAGGTGACCAGGGCTGGTTTGCAAGAGCACTAAAAACACATCTCAAAATGCCAACGTCTTACTAAACAAAGTGCTTTCCGGTGGAGGAGGTTCTTTATGTATCAACAAGAATCCGTGCCATGGATGGCAAGGCAGTGATGGAAATGTATGTGCATACCAAGTTCTGACAACCACTGGTCCCAAGTAACAACATCTGTATGTCAAGAAGCAACACTAGTTCGACGGGCAATATGTGCACAAGAAGCAACACTAGTTCGACGGGCAATATGTGCACAAGAAGCAACACTAGTTCGACGGTGCACAAGAAGCAACACTAGTTCGACGGGCAATATGTGCACAAGAAGCAACACTAGTTCGACGGGCAATATGCGCACAAGGAGCAACACTAGTTCGACGGGCAATATGTGCACAAGAAGCAACACTAGTTCGACGGGCAATATGTGCACAAGAAGCAACACTAGTTCGACGGGCAATATGTGCACAAGAAGCAACACTAGTTCGACGGGCAATATGTGCACAAGAAGCAACACTAGTTCGACGGGCAATATGTGCACAAGAAGCAACACTAGTTCGACGGGCAATATGTGCACAAGAAGCAACACTAGTTCGACGGGCAATATGTGCACAAGAAGCAACACTAGTTCGACGGGCAATATGTGCACAAGAAGCAACACTAGTTCGACGGGCAATATGTGCACAAGAAGCAACACTAGTTCGACGGGCAATATGTGCACAAGAAGCAACACTAGTTCGACGGGCAATATGTGCACAAGAAGCAACACTAGTTCGACGGGCAATATGTGCACAAGAAGCAACACTAGTTCGACGGGCAATATGTGCACAAGAAGCAACACTAGTTCGACGGGCAATATGTGCACAAGAAGCAACACTAGTTCGACGGGCAATATGTGCACAAGAAGCAACACTAGTTCGACGGGCAATATGTGCACAAGAAGCAACACTAGTTCGACGGGCAATATGTGCACAAGAAGCAACACTAGTTCGACGGGCAATATGTGCACAAGAAGCAACACTAGTTCGACGGGCAATATGTGCACAAGAAGCAACACTAGTTCGACGGGCAATATGTGCACAAGAAGCAACACTAGTTCGACGGGCAATATGTGCACAAGAAGCAACACTAGTTCGACGGGCAATATGTGCACAAGAAGCAACACTAGTTCGACGGGCAATATGTGCACAAGAAGCAACACTAGTTCGACGGGCAATATGTGCACAAGAAGCAACACTAGTTCGACGGGCAATATGTGCACAAGAAGCAACACTGGTTCGACGGGCAATATGTGCACAAGAAGCAACACTAGTTCGACGGGCAATATGTGCACAAAGCACATGTGCTTTGTGAAGCTTGAAAGGTCCAGAAGGCCAAGTGTGGATGATGTGGGTGCCAGTCCAGCGGATGGATATCTCTCTCCAGGGACGAGCAAGCTTAGCACATCGCACCTAAACTAAATTTGCTAAAAACCAAGCAAACCCAACAATTTCCCTCTATGTAAGCCACTTGCAACTCTTGTGTAAATAATGTATGGTTATTATTAACTCAGTAGCAGAAATGGGTGATTCTGGTACAAGAACGGAGCAAGTGTTTTATCATTTCTAAAAAAAAAAAAGTTTGGTTTTAAATAAAAAGAAAATCTAAACCTCTCGTCCTTGTCAAAGGCCTTTTCCAGAATTTGTTTGGAGACGTGAGTGTTAGAGTTGGGTATGTTCGTTCGGAAGTCGGAAAAACTTCCGAATTTTGTCTTCTGAAGCAAATTTGAACAATGCAGGAAAGGCTGGGGGGGAATCCAAATTCGAACCAAAAAGTAGCAGGATGTAGAGTGGGTCATGGGGGCTCCATGTGCCAAGTTTGGTCTTTATTGGTCATTGGATGAGAGTCGCAGTGCTCTCAAGATGAGAGTGAAGGTACTGCAAGTCCATCATCCGTGGTCTGCCCTCCTCCAAACTCCAGTAGGATGTAGAGTGGGTCATGAGGGCTAAAGTTTGGTCTTTATCGGTCTTAGTCGGGGGCCACAGTGGTCTGTAGGAACTAAAGGGTTTGAAAGTACTACAAGTCCGATAATCCATTGTCCATCCTCCCCAAATCTCACCAGGATGTAAAGGGGGTAATGGGGGTTATGTGTGTCAAGTTTGGTCCAGGTCCATCACCCGTGCTGGTCAGAAAGCTGCCACATACACCTCCCTACATCCGCCCTCCGCATGCATACATACATACAAACATTCACTTTTATTATATACTAGCTTGGGGACCCAGCGCTGCCCGGGTTATTTGAGAAAGGAATTGTGTATCAAGGTTGGTCTTTATCAGTTATTTATATGGCTCACAGTGGTCTCAGAAAGTTAGTGAAGGTACTTGAAGTCCCATCATCCATAGTCTGTTCTCCCCCAAACTTCACCAGAATGTTGAGTTGGCCATAGGGGCTCTCTGTGTCAAGTTTGGTCTTTATTGGTATTTGGATGAGTGTTGCTGTGGTTTCAGGAAGCGAGCGAAGATACTGCAAGTTCCATCATCCATCATCCGTCCTCCTCCAAACAGCACCGGGATGTATAGTGGCTCATGGGGGCTCTGTGTGCCAAGTTTGGTCTTGATCGGTCATTAGATGAGGGTTGCAGCAGACTTGGGAAGGGAGTGGAGGTACTTGAAGTCCCATCATCCATGGTCTGTCCTCATCGAAAGTGCACCAGGATGTAGAGTGGGTCATGGGGGCTCTGTGTGCCAAGTTTGGTCTTGATCAGTCATTGACGAGGGTCTCAGTGGCCTCAGGAAGTGAGTGAAGAGATTGCAAGTCCCATCATCCATGGTCCATCCTCCTCCTAACTGCAGTAGGATGTAGAGTGGGTCTTGCAGACTCTGTGTGCCAAGTTTGGTCTGTATTGGTAATTTAATGACACAGCCTCGGGTCTTTTCCTCTCCTCTGTCACCTCGGAATCATGGAATTTTCAAGCTGGCCAATCAGAGACCATATGCAAATTGTACCACAGTGGCAGCCAATCAGAACGCTGCCGCATACACCTCCCTCCCATCCTTCTTCCGCATACAAACACTGACTTTTATTATATACACTAGCTTGGGGGCCCGACGCTGCCCGGGTTATTTGAGAAAGGCATTGTGCGCCAAGGTTGGTCTTTATCAGTTATTTATGTGATTCACAGTGCTCTCAGGAAGTTAATGAAGGTACTGCGAGTCCCATAGTCCATGGTCCATTGTCCTCCAAACAGCATCAGGATGTAGAGTGGGTCATGGGGGCTCTGTGTGCCAAGTTTGATCTTGATCAGTTATTGGATGAGGTTCGCAGCAGTCTCGGGAAGTGAGTGAAGGTACTTCAAGTCCCATCATCTGTGGTCTATCCACCAAACCGCACCAGGATGTAGAGTGGGTCATGGGGGCTCTGTGTGCCAAGTTTGGTCTTGATCAGTCATTGGATGAGTGTCACAGTGGTCTCGGGAAGCAAGTGGAGATACTTCAAGTCCCATCATCTGTGATCCATCCTCCTCGAAACTGCACCAGGATGTAGAATGGGTCATGGGGGCTCTGTGTGCCAAGTTTGGTCTTGATCAGTTATTGACGAGGGTCTCAGTGGTCTCAGGAAGTGAGTGAAGTGACTGCAAGTCCCATCATCCATGGTCCATCCTCCTCCAAACTGCAGTAGGATGTAGAGTGGGTCTTGCGGACTCTGTGTGCCAAGTTTGGTCTGTATTGGTAATTTTATGACACAGCCTCGGGTCTTTTCCTCTCCTCTGTCACCTTGGAATCTTCAGGCTGGCCAATCAGAGACCATATGCAAATTGTACCACAGTGGTAGCCAATCAGAATGGTGCCACATACACCTCCTTCCGGTCCTTCCTCCGCATACAAACACTGACTTTTATTATATACATATAGACATAGACAACATTGACATTAGGCCTGTGTGATCAATGCAAAAAAATGTTTCCACACTCATGACTAATGTGTTGCCGAAGGCTTTCATAATCAGAATCACTAGGTTGCATCTTACAATGGAAGAAATATGGTAATAATAATTTTTAGGCAAAAGGGAGACCTGGTTCTGCACGTCAAGTCTTTATTAATCATCTGTAGGTAAAAAATAATAACAAAGGGCCAAGATTGGATTTCAAGCGACACCAAAACTGTATTTAAATCATTTCCGCATGCATCGCCCTGTCTGAAAACACACAACTGCACTTGCTAATGTCAACACCAGCTAGTCTTTCATTTATAGGCAAATACACTGAGTATTCCTTCCTGCAACTCCGGTTTCGACGCCGCAGGACCCAATCCACAAAGTGAGAGACAAACACACAAACGAAACAGCGAACGTCGAAAATCCTGATTTTTAAATAACACTTTCCTGAACTTGGCAACATTTATTCCAAACCAAGGGTTTCTAAGCTGCTGCGTATCACTCAAACGACATTGCAAAAAAAAAAACCAAAACAAACAAACAAAACTCATTATCTTTGTTTAGAAAAATGCAAAATTCAAAAGCTCCACTAACAGGAGAACAAATCACCTTGGCCTTTTCTTTCATTGTGCGCTTTTGGGTATAGCGGAGTCTAAATAGGGAAAGGAAATGCATATATAGTCACTCTCACTCTATTATCTACTTACAGTAAAGACAAGTTGCACGTTGGGTCAACAAGACTCATGGAGTTGGATTTTTGGACTGTTTTGGTTGCTTTTACAGCAAGGTGGCCGCTGGTTAAGCAAAAATTGAATTGCTGACCATGTGGAACAGCGTTGGCATGTACGAGTATTTGGCAGAACCATGATGACGGGAAGAAGACTGCTTTTTTTTGCTAAGGATGAAACTGAAGCCAAAGCAGCTTAGCGAAGATCCAGGCCTTTGTAGTGACAAAGAAAAATTTTCTGTACGACTTAACGAAACAAAATCTTCTGAAATCTCAATACTGGTACAACTTTGGAGCTCAGAAGCATTTTTAGGCCCCGTCTACATGGTTTGAACTGCATTAGACTCATATGAACTGGATTTATATGAGTCTACACTACCATAAAATCCAGTTCAATGCAGTTAGTCTGCATTCTGGAATTGCATTATAATGATCAGCGTAGACTCATATGATGCAAAATGCATTGAATTGGGTAATATGGCAGTATAGATTCATATAAATTCAATCTGCATTATATGAGTCTACACTGCCATATAATCCACTTCAATGTAGTTAGTCTGCATTCTGTAACTGCATTATAATGATCAGCGTAGACTCATATAATGCAGATTGGATTTATATGAGTCTACACTGCCATATAACCAAGTTCAATGCAATTCTGGAACTGCACTATAATGATCAGCGTAGACTCATATAATGCAGATTGGATTTACATGAGTCTACACTGCCATATAATCCAGTTCAATGCAGTTAATCTGCATTCTGGAACCGCGTTATAATGGTCAGTGTAGACTCACATAATGCAGACCGAACTGGATTTATATGAGTCTACACTGCCATATAATCCAGTTCAATGCAGTTAATATGCATTCTGGAACTGCATTATAATGATCAGCATAGACTCATATAATGCAGATTGGATTTATATGAGTCTACACTGCCATATAATCCAGTTCAATGCAATTCTGGAACTGCACTATAATGGTCAGCGCAGACTCATACAATGCAGATGGAACTGGATTATATGAGTCTATACTGCCATATAACCCAGTTTAATGCAGTTAGTCTGCATTTTGGAGCTGCGTTATAATGATCAGCATCGACTCATATAATGCAGATTGGATTTATAGGAGTCTACACCTCCATATAATCCAGTTCAATGCAGTTAATCTGCATTATAATCGCGTTATAATGGTCAGTGTAGATTCACATAATGCAGACCGAACTGGATTTATATGAGTCTACACTGCCATATAATCCACTTCAATGCAGTTAGTCTGCGTTCTGGAACTGCATTATAATGATTAGCGTAGACTCATATAATGCAGATTGGATTTATATGAGTCTACACTGCCATATAACCCAGTTCAATGCAGTTAGTCTGCATTTTGGACCTGCATTATAATGGTCAGCGTGGGCTCATAAATCCAGTGTGGAACTGGATTTATACGAGTCTACACTGCCATATAACCCAGTTCAATGCCGTTAATCTGCATTTTGGAACTACATTGTAATGATCAACGTAGACGCATATAATGCAGATTGAACTGGATTATGTGAGTCTACACTGCCATATAACCCAGTCTGCATTCTGGAATTGCATTATAATGATCAGTGTAGACTCATATATTACAGATTGGATTTATATGAGTCTATACTGCCATATAACCCAGTTCAACGCAATTCTGGAACTGCATTATAATGGTCAGCGTAGGGTCATACAATGCAGATGGAACTGGATTTATATGAGTCTACACTGCCATATAATCCAGTTCAATTCAGTAAATCTGCATAAACTGCATTATATGGCAGCCTTAGTAACTTGGGATATGCTTGTCCCACTTTAATTATAATTGCTTTGGGGAAAGAACAGGTATTTTGCCTCCTAGGGATGCACCAAATTCAGAATTTGCATTAAGTTTGTAATACAGGGGAGTTGCTCTCATTGTTTAACTTCAATCCAGATTAACTAGCATTAAAGGAGCCAAGGGAACAGTAAAGTTATAATTACAAAAAAAGGTGGAATCTCCACATCTCTGAATGACCGTTCTCCAAATACCGTGTGAGCCACCCACGCTTCTGATTTCAAGCTACATCACTGAGAAAATGTGCTCCATGATAAGAGGACAAACTAGAATAGACACTACAAGGTGTGAGGGAGTTCTAGAGTGACGTGGAGACTTCTGAACTTCAAGAGAAAGTCATTCAATTCCAGTTAAAAGAAGAACACAGCCAGGTTTGGGAATGAATTCACAATCGTTCGCAAACAGACAGGTGACATGTATTTGCGAAACATAAATTCGTATCGCACTCAAGTCAACATGTGGCATTTGAAATAGTACTAAAAACAACGTGGTTCTGAGAGTTTGTAGATGCTCTGCAAAAAGGTGAGTTCACACTTCACGTTCCATGAAAAAGAAGCGCCAAGGATTTGCAGAACAAACAACTCCGCGACCCTCACATAAAACGGTTGCATTTACTAGTGCTTAAAATCCAGTTGGACTCGTGGCCCAGCAGAAGTCCGGATCCTCCGAGGCCGTCATTCGAATGGGGCGGACATTACGCTACTCACTGACCGTGGGGAAAATGCCGAATCCTAAGAGAAGAAGCCGTGCCAAGATGCCACTAGGTTCATAACCTTAAGGCCCAGGACCCAGCTCTTCTGATGCCTTCTTTTTTAGCATTTGGAAGGTCTGGAAGGAAGACGGCTCTCCTTCAGAGCAAACACTAGCGCCGCAGGTTGTTTGGGGCGGGAGGCACGGAAGGGCGGCTTAAAGGCGTCACCACCAACCCGCCGCTTAAGTCCAGGCCCCGGCCTTCTTTTTCCTAGAAAAGAGACAAGAGAAACAATTCCTGAATGTTTTAGTGCCTCTCAATTCCATTTTCATTTAATGTTTAGACCATGGGTCTGTCGCATACAGAAGAAACAAGTTATTAGTATTATTATTAGTATTATTACATCTCCAGCTCATCCCGTTTGGGTATCAGCCAGCATGTCAACGACTTAAATCTAGACATAGTTTTCTAAGATCTACAGAGACACTCGCTGGAACACCTCAGCAAGTGAGAGTCCAAAAGTGGCAGGCTCAAACCCAGAACCTCAACCAATGGCTGATACCAAATGAGAGACTCCCCCCTGGGCACACAGAGGACTGGGCGACTTGGAAGGCGCTGAACAGACTGCGCTCTGGCACCACGAGATGCAGAGCCAACTTTCAGAAATGGGGCTACAAAGTGGAATCCTTGACATGCGAGTGTGGAGAGGAGCAAACCACTGACCACCTGCTGCAATGCAATGCTGTAAAGCAGGGGTCCTCAAACTTTTTAAACAGAGGGCCAGGTCACAGTCCCTCAAACTGTTGGAGGGCCAGATTATAATTTGAAAAAACATGAATGAATTCCTATGCACACTGAACATATCTTATTTGTAGTGCAAAAAACACTTTAAAACAATACAATAATTAAAATGAAGAACAATTTTAACAAATATAAATTATTAGTATTTCAATGGGAAGTGTGGGCCTGCTTTTTGCTGATGAGATAGGATTGTTGTTGTTGTGTGCTTTCAAGTCATTTCAGACTTAGGTTGACCCTGAGCGAGGGCCGGGTAAATTACCTTGGGGGGGCCGCATTTAGCCCTTAGTTTGAGGACCCCTGCTCTAGGTGCTCTTACTGCCTATTACAGGGAAAACCAGCTGATCCCCAACCCATCCAAAACACAGACATGTGTTTTTCATCTCAAGAACAGAAAAGCATCCCGAGCTCTGAGGATCACCTGGGAAGGGATCCCACTGGAGCATTGTAGTGCTCAAGCCGGGAGCTTTGAGATGGTAGAACAGAAGCTTTCCGAAGCTCTAGATCAGGGGTCCTCAAACTTTTTGAACAGAGGGCCAGGTCACAGTCCCTCAAACTGTTGGAGGGCTGGATTATAATTTGAAAACAACATGAATTAATTCCTATGCACACTGTATACCTGGGAGTCACTCTGGACCGCGCTCTGACCTACAAGAAGCACTGCCTGAACATCAAGCAAAAAGTGGGTGCTAGAAACAATATCATACGAAAGCTGACTGGCACAACCTGGGGATCACAACCAGATACAGTGAAGACATCTGCCCTTGCGCTGTGCTACTCTGCTGCTGAGTATGCATGCCCAATGTGGAACACATCTCACCATGCTAAAACAGTGGATGTGGCTCTTAATGAGACATGCCGCATTATCACGGGGTGTCTGCGCCCTACACCACTGGAGAAATTACACTGCTTAGCCGGTATTGCACCACCTGACATCCGTCGGGAAGTAGCAGCCAATAGTGAAAGGACCAAGGCAGAGACAACTCCAGCTCATCCCCCTGTTTGGGTATCAGCCAGCACGTCAAAAACTTAAATCTAGAAATAGTTTTCTAAGATCTACAGAGACACTCGCTGGAACACCTCAGCAAGCGAGAGTCCAAAAGTGGCAGGCTCAAACCCAGAACCTCAACCAATGGCTGATACAAATGAGAGACTCCCCCCTGGGCACACAGAAAACTGGGCGACTTGGAAGGCGCTGAACAGACTGCGCTCTGGCACCACGAGATGCAGAGCCAACCTTCAGAAATGGGGCCACAAAGGAGAATCCACGACATGCAAGTGCAGAGAAGAGCAAACCACTGACCACCTGCTGCAATGCAACTTGAGCCCTGCCACATGCACAATGGAGGACCTCCTTGCAGCAACACCAGAAGCACTCCAAGTGGCCAGATACTGGTCAAAGGACATTTAACCAACTACCAAGTTTGCAAAATCTGTGGGTTTTTTTATCTGTTTGTTTGTTTTGTTCTGTTAGAAATAAAATACAATGGTATGGTTGCTGATGACACGATAAATAAATAAATCCATATATACAATATATTATATTATATTATATTATATTATATTATATTATATTATAAGCATAATACAGGAGACAAGATGGAACTGTCTTCTTGGGCCCCCTCTCTTTTTGATTGGACCCTGTGATTAAAATACATATTCATAAAGCGTCCCTCTTGAGTTCAAGATAGAGAAATTATCGGACAAAGTAGGATGGGATCCAAGCAACTTCTGACTCCCTAAACAACAGGAATGTTCTTCGCAAACACTCGAGCTTTCATACACTGCAAGCTGTGGGCAAGGCATTCCGCACAGAGCCTGGCACCCACTGCCGAAGGAAAGAGAATAAGAAAAAACAACAATTTCAGCTGCCATTCGTCTCCAAAGCCAGAAGGAATTGGAAGGGCAAAGGGCAAGATCCCTGGCACAGCTCCTATTCCCAGCTTTTGCTCCATATCAGCTAAGTGTTGGAAATCAACCACATCCTGTACATGCTTATAGTCCTCACTAAGGAAATACGACAAGGTCGCTGGTAGAGAAAGGCCTTCCTATATTGTTCTCTTTGTCTGCCTGTCTCTCTGTGCCAGGAATGGGCAAACTTTGGCAAAATTCCTCCAGGTATTTTGGACATTAAGACATGGGCATAAAACTCTATCTTGTACACAAAAACTACACTCGCTCTACATGGGGCTGCCTTTGAAGACTGTTCGGAAGACCGTCCAATGGGGGGCAGCCAGATTGCTCACCGGAGCGGTGTACAGGAAGCACACAACCTCCCTGTTGCATCAGCTCCACTGGCTGCCAGTCTGCTACCAAGCACAATTCAAGGCCTATAAAGCCCTAAACAGTTTCGGCCCATCTTACCTGTCCGAATGTGCCTCCCCCTATGAACCATCTCGGAGATTAAGATCTTCTGAGGAGGCCCTGCTCTCGGTCCTGCCTCCTTCACACGTGACAGGTGGAAACGAGAGACAGGGTCTTCTCAGTGGTGGCCCCTCAGCTGTGGAACTCCCTCCCCAGTGATATTAGGTCACCACCCTCCTTCCTGACCTTCAGAAGGAGAGTGAAAATGTGGCTTTGGGATCAAGCATTGAATTGCTGCCTTTGTTAACTGTCTTGAGTCGCCTGCGGGCTGAGAGGGGCGGTATACAAATATAGTAAATAAAAATAAATAAGCCTTTGGAGAATATTATAGTGAAATAGATGGATTTGGAATTATGTGCAATGACTACTGGAATGGCCTTAATTATGATTGCGCATAACGTGGTGTATAATAGTAATTATATATATATATATTATTTTATTTTTAATATTTTAAATATGTTTTTAAATATCCGGGTGTCCCCTCAATTAATTTTGAGCCCCCGGTGGCGCAGTGGGTTCAACGCTGAGTTGTTGAACTTGTTGACCGAAAAGTCACAGGTTCGAATCTGGGGAGTGGGGTGAGCTCCCGCTGTCAACCCCAGCTTCTGCCAAACTAGCAGTTCGAAAACATGCAAGTCTGAGTAGAGCAAGAAGTACCGCTTTGGTGGGAAGGTAACAGCACTCCATGCAGTAATGCCAGTCACATGACCTTGGAGGTGTCTATGGACAATGCTGGCTCTTCGGCTTAGAAATTGAGATGAGCACCAACCCCCAGAATCGGACACAACTGGACTTAATGACAGGGGAAAACCTTTACTTAAATATTTTAATGTATTTTAACTTTGATTTTAATTAAAATTTTCATGTTAATTTTAATTGTATATTGTTTTTTTAAGGCACTGAATGCCTATGTTGTAAGCCGCTCTGAGTCCCCTTCAGAGTCAAGAAAGGCGGAATATAAATATAGTAAATAAATTTCCATCTAAGAGTGTAAAGAAGGCACCAAATGGCTTAGGGACAGAGTCTGCCACCTCCTTTGTCTATAGAAGAGGCCAAATCCAATCCTTGGCATGCCACACTGGGATAGACAACACCATTATTATTATTATTATTATTATTTATTATTAACTTTATTTGTACCCCGCTAGCATCTCCCGAAGGACTCGATGCGGCTTACACAGGCCGAAGCCACAAAACACAATATAATAGAAACAGACATCACAAAAGCAGAACAAATCAACAATAGCAAAATAACAACAATAGCATTACATCAAGACATTATTAAAACTGGTTCGGCCGGCGCACTGGGTACAAGGGGTTAAAAGTGCTGAAATGGCAGGAGGCACGTAGGATTTCAAGTGCGGTGTGCAGCGACGATTTGTTATGCTAAGGTGCTATTTGGACTTGGGGTGGGGATTCCTAATCTGAGAAGGCACAACGGAACAGCCAAGTTTTTAAATTCCTTCTGAAAACGGCTAGAGTAGGGGCCTGTCTGAGATCTTTTGGGAGGGCGTTCCAAAGTCGGGGGGCCGCCACAGAAAAGGCCCTGTCCCGTGTCCCCACCAAGCGCACTTGCGACATAGGTGGGATCACGAGCAGGGCCTCTCCAGATGACCGGAGCGAGCGTGTGGGTTCGTAGATAGTGATGCGGTCACGCAGGTAGGGTGGTCCCAAACCGTTTAGGGCTTTGTAGGTAAGCACCTGCACCTTGAATTGGGCTCGGAAAATAAATGGCAGCCAGTGGAGCTCCTTAAACAGAGGGGTAGACCTCTCTTGATAATGAGCTCCAGTTAGCATCCTAGCTGCTGCCCGCTGGACCAATTGAAGTTTCCGAGCCGTCTTCAAGGGCAGCCCCACGTAGAGCGCATTGCAGTAATCCATTCTAGAGGTGACCAAGGCGTGGACCACCCCGGCCAGATCAGCCTTCACGAGGTATGGTCACAGTTGGCGCACAAGTCTCAGTTGCGCAAAGGCCCTCCCGGATACTGCCGACACCTGAGCCTCAAGTGTAAGCGAAGAATCCAAGAGGACGCCCAAACTGCGGACCTGTGGCTTTAGGGGGAGTGTAACCCCGTCCAACACAGGTGACCACCCTATACCCCGATCCGGTTTACGATCGACCAGGAGGACCTCTGTCTTGTCGGAATTGATCTTCAGCTTGTTCTTCCTCATCCAGATCGACACAGCGGCCAGGCACTCGTCCAGCACCCGAGAGGCCTCCTTGGAGTTAGGTGGAAAAGAGTAGTAGAGTTGTGTGTCATCTGCATAGAGATGGCACCCGACTCCAAAACTCCGGATGACCTCTCCCAGCGGTTTCATGTAGATGTTGAAAAGCATGGGGGACAAAATAGAGCCTTGCGGGACCCCACAGGTCAAAGGCCAGGGGTCAGAGCAGGCGTCTCCCAGCTTCACCATCTGGGTTCGTCCCTCCAGGAAGGACCGGAGCCACGACAAAACCGTGCCCCCAAGGCCCATCCCAGAGAGACGACCCAGAAGGATACCATGATCGATGGTATCGAAAGCCGCTGAGATGTCCAAGAGAACCAGCAGGGTCACACTCCCCCTGTCCAGCTCTCTGCGGAGGTCATCCACCAAGGCGACCAAGGCTGTCTCGGTGCCATGACCAGGCCTGAAACCAGACTGTGATTGATCTAGGTAGTTGGTATCGTCAAGGAAACCCTGGAGCTGGGAGGCGACCACCCTCTCCAGCACCTTACCCAAAAAGGGGAGGTTGGAGATCGGCCTGTAGTTATTCAGCACCGTGGAGTCAAGGGAAGCTTTCTGACTAATCTGAATGCTCAGGGGGCTTTGCAGATTTTTAGATACTTACAGCTCTGTAATCCAGAAACATCTCTTTAAACGCCAAAAAGTCTGTGAATGTGAGAAGCATGTCAAAAATATCCCCGGCTATTTCGTCCTTGTGCTGCCTGTAAATGAGCAATTGACTCCATTATAAACAAGCAAAGGTGCTCCAGGTTTTCACAAGGCAATGAGGAGGGCAGGTCTGTTCACCTTCATTGTTTGAACTGCATTATGTGGTCAGTGTAGAAATATATAATCCAGACTGAACTGGATTATCTACCATATAATCTAGATTTTTGAACCTTAATCTTTATTTTTGAACTTTAAAGATTCAAAAGAGGTTCAGTACCTTGGATAGCTCTTTAAGGATCCTGATTAATTAGAGCAAATTCACAGAGTGGAGTTCTGTTTGCCAGTTTACAAATTGGAATGGTTTCCTATACTTTTACTGGTTGTGTAGAAGAGGTGAAAAGCACTGGGTTACCAAAATATTATGACAACCACATAATATAAAATACTAGCCGTCCCCTGCCACGCGTTGCTGTGGCCCAGTCTGCGTATATGTGTTTTGTGTGTGTATATGTGTGTATATATGTGTGTTTGTGTGCGTGTATATATGGTTTTGCCCATGCGTGTAATGTAATTTTTTGGCTTTTTAAGTCTCTTCTGTTGTGTCTTTCAGTGTTTTTATGAGTGATGGTCACTTGTTGGCCTGACAGGTGTATTGTGTGCAAATTTGGTGTCAATTCGTCCACTGGTTTTTGAGTTCTGTTGATCCCACAAACAAACATTACATTTTTATTTATATAGACTAGCCGTCCCTTGCCACGCATTGCTGTGGCCCAGTCTGTGTATATGTATTTTTTGTGTGTATATATATGTTTGTTGATCGAGCTTGTTGATCGAAAGGTCGCAGGTTCGATTCCGGGGAGCGGCGTGAGCTTCCGCTGTCAGCCCTAGCTTCTGCCAACCTAGCAGTTCGAAAACATGCAAATGTGAGTAGATCAATAGGTACCGCTCCGGCGGGAAGGTAACGGCGCTCCATGCAGTCATGCTGGCCACATGACCTTGGAGGTGTCTACGGACAACACTGGCTCTTCGGCTTAGAAATGGAGATGAGCACAACACCTCAGAGTCAAGACATGACTGGACTTAATGTCAGGGGACCACCTTTACCTTTACATGTTTATGTGTGTGCATATGTTTGTGTATATATGCGTGTTTGTATGTGTGTGTGTGTTTATACACACACACACATATATATATATGGGTGTGTATATGTGTGTGTATGTATGTGTGTATATATATAGATACACACACATATGGGCATATATATATATATGTGGGTGCATATATTTGTGGGTTTATATGTGTACATGCATATTGTGTACATGTGTGTGCTTGTCTATATGCATGTTTGTGTGTATGTGTGTGCATGTGTACATGTATATGTGTGTATGTATATGTATGTGTGTATATGTGTACATTTGTGTGTGTTTGTGTAGATATACGTGTGTGTATGAATGTATGCATGTGTATATGTATATGAGTGTATGTGTATATATGGTGTATTTTTTGCGTTTTTAAGTCTGTTCCGCTGGGGTTGTGTGTGTGTGTGTGCTTAGGGGTGATGGACACTCGTTGGACTGTTAGATGTGTTGTGTCCCAATTTGGCGGCAATTTGTCCAGTGGTTTTTGAGTTATGTTAATCCCACAAACGAACATTACATTTTTATTTATATAGACTAGCCGTCCCCTGCCACGCCTTGCTGTGGCCCACATGGGGGTTCTGTGTAGGAGGTTTGGCCCAATTCTATCATTGGTGGGGTTCAGAATGCTCTGTGATTGTAGGTGAACTATAAATCCAAGCAACTACAACTCCCAAATGTCAAGATTCTATTTTCCCCAAACTCCACCAGTGTTCACATTTGGGTATATTGAGTATTTGTGTAGAGTTTGGTCCAGATGCATCATTGTTTGAGTCCACAGTGATCTCTGGATGTAGGTGTACTACAACTCCAAAACCAAAGGACACTGCCCACCAAACCCTTTCAGTATTTTCTGCTGGTCATGGGAGAACCGTGTGCCAAGTTTGGTTCAATTCCATCGTTGGTGGGGTTCAGAATGCTCTTTGATTGTAGGTGAACTATAAATCCCAGCAAATGCAACTCCCAAATGACAAAATCCATTTTTTTTTTAGTGAAGGACATACATTGGATTGTTAGGTGTCTTGTGCCCAAATTTGGTGTCAATTCATCCAGTGGTTTTTGAGTTATGCTAATCCCACAAACGAACATTACATTTTTATTTATATAGATTATAAACTATGTATAGGATAAATATAAAATATTATGTCAACCTCATAATATAAAATATTATAAACTATATATAATAATATAAATATATAATAAATATAAAATACTATGTCAACCACATAATATACAGCACATGCATCCACAAAGTAGTATACACACACATACAAGTAATGTTGAAAAATTGATATGTAGTCATATATGTTCGGCTAAGTCGACGCGATGATGTTTCTGATTAAGGACAGGCAATTACCGACAACGAATTGGATTATGATTTTCATTTAAGAGATGCATTGGTCTGTATTGGTGGCCCAATACTGTGTATTATATATGTATGTGTTTTATATTTTTAATCTGAATATTGTTGTTTTTAAATGCTGTAAACCGCAGTGAGTCGCCGCTCTAGGCTGAGATACTAGCGGTATACAAGTGTACTAAATAAATAAATAAATAAATAAATAAATATACTTTTAGTAGGTATAAATTGGAAGTTATTTCAATACATTCAATAGTAGTTTGGGGACCTAGCGGTGCCCGGGTTATTCGAAAAAGGCATTGATATTATAATGTATTACAATAGAATACTAATAATAATATGATATTATAATTATCATATTATTGATAATTATAAAGCAAACACAAAAGGAAACCTACAACTTACTGTAAGGACAAGGTGAACGCAGACATGCTGAAGCCAGGGATCCTGTCCAAGAGCTTTTCTTCGATATACTTTTCAATTAGGCAGATCTGAAAGGGGGAGCATTGCATTATTGTTTTCAGCTGAAGAGGAAAGAAGAAATAGTATTTTAACAGTATTCCCACGTTGGGAGAGGGATTTCCTGCCTTGATATTCTGGGTTATATGGCTATGGGGAAGGGCCCTGAGTCTACACTGCCAGATAATCCAGTTCAAAGCAGATAATATAGATTTTATACAGCTGTGTTGAAGGGGCCTTCACAAGCTCACCATGGGATCTATCTATCTTCTTGTTCTCAAAGTGCATCAACAGAGGCAGAAGAGACAATCAAACCCAAAACCAAACACACACACACTTACATATTCATTAAAAATGGGAGTGTAGATTAGCTTATTTTCCTCCGTATCATCAAACTCTTGGTAGTATTTGTCCATGAAGCTTCTTTGTATGAGCTGGAAGTCATCATCTGCAATCACAAAACAGTTTGTGCTCAGTGCGGCTATTGAGCTGGAAGACAGTGGCCACATTCATGGGCACGCTTGTCATCGGCCTGCAGTCCAGGACACGGTGGCCCCACGTCAGCTGTGACAACAGCACAGCTGCAGGCATTTCTTGCTCGCTGGCTGAGCCTTCCAGGGAACAGGGCTTTTTTTGCCATTGTCAAAAACAAGACAGAGACCAACACTTCATCCTCGTCAGCGAGCTCGATAAGCAAGACAAGATCACCTGAATTTTTGGGAGAATTTAACATGCATCCAACCAGAATCCCTTATTCAGAATTACGTAATCAAAGATGTCTAAACACTTGCAAATAAATAAATAAATAAATAATCTTTATTTATATACTGCTCCATCTCCCCGAGGGGACTCAGTGCGGTTCCCAGGTAACATCTCAAAACATACAAAGTAAAAAACAACATAACCATAAGATTAACAAAACAAAATATAAGCATAAAAATTGTCACCGTAACACACATATATTAAAAGCAATCCTGTCTGTTCAAGGCAATTAAAAAATTTAAAAGGCCGGGCCAAGATTTATGCCAGCCTAAAAATTCTACAGGGCCCGGGAATTAAGTGCAATGCTATGGCAGGCAACAATGATATTAGGTACGGGTCTGTGGCTGTTCAATTGGGGCCGATTAGAGGAAAGAATCTGGGTAACTGGTACGAAGCATACACGAAGCTCGGCCTGTCACTGAACATCGAGAAAACCAAAGTGCTGTTCCAGCAGTCACCAGCCATCTCCTCCCCAATGCCAAAGATACAGCTTAATGGTGTAACATTAGAAAATGTTGACCGTTTCCACTCCCTTGGCAGCCACCTCGCCACCAAAGTCAACATTGACACTGAAATACAACACCGCCTGAGCTCTGCGAGTGCAGCATTTTCCCGAATGAAGCAGAGAGTGTTTGAGGACCGGGACATCCTGTAGGGATACCAAGGTGCTTGTCTATAAAGCTATTGTCCTCACAACGCTGCTCTATGTCTGTGAGACGTGAACTGTCTACAGATGTCACATGCAACTCCTGGAATGATTCCATCAGCGCTGCCTCCGGAAAATCCTGCAAATATCTTGGGAAGACAAGTGGACAAACGTCAGTGTGCTGGAAGAAGCAAAGGCCATCAGCATTGAAGCGATGGTCCTCTGCCATCAACTCCGCTGGAACGGTCACGTTGTCCGGATGCCTGACCACCGTCTCTCAAAGCAGTTGCTCTACTCTGAACTTAAGAATGGAAAACGAAATGTTGGTGGGCAGGAAAAGAGATTTAAAGATGGCCTCAAAGCCAACCTTAAAAACTCTGGCATAGACACTGAGAACTGGAAAGCCCTGGCCCTTGACCGCCCCAGCTGGAGGTCAGCTGTGACCAGCAGTGCTGCAGAATTCGAGGAGGCACGACTGGAGGGTGAAAGAGAGAAACGTGCCAGGAGGAAGACGCGTCAAGCCAACCCCGACTGGGACCGCCTTCCACCTGGAAACCAATGCCTTCACTGTGGGAGAAGATGCGGGTCAAGAATAAAGCTCCACAGCCACCTACAAACCCACAAAAATAGTCATCAAGGAAGACCATCTTACTCGTCCAACGAGGAATCACCTAAGTACGTACTGGTAGGAAGAATAAGGCCATATTCGACAATGTGTAGGGCTGTGTAGAACTAGTCATTTTCAAAGGCTTGTTGAAACCACCAGGTCTTCAAGCTCTTATGAAAGGAGGGGAGGGATGGGGCCTGTCTTATTTCCTTTGGAAGGGTGTTCCAGAATTGGGGGGCCACCACTGAGAAGGCCCTCTCTCTCGTCCCCACCAACCGCACTTGAGAGGGTAGTGGGACCAAGAGGAGGGCCTCCCCGGAAGATCTTAGAGCTTGTGCCGGTTCATAGAAGGAGATGCGATTGCGGAGATAGGCTTTATAGGTAATGACCTGCACCTTGAATTTGGCTCGGCAACTTATCGGCAGCCAATGAAGCTGTTTTAATAGGGGTGTTGTATGCTCCCTATAGTTTGCTCCAGTAAGGAGCCTGGCTGCCGCCCGTTGTACCAGTTGAAACTTCCGGGCCATCTTCAAGGGCAGTCCCATGTAGAGTGCATTGCAATAGTCCAGTTTGGATGTAACTAAGGCATGGGCCACCCTGGCCAAGTCAAACTTCACGAGGTATGGTCGCAGCTGGCACACAAGTTTGAGTTGTGCAAAGGCCCTCCCGGCCACCGCCAACACCTGAGCATCAAGTGACAGCGTTGAATCCAGGAGGACCCCCAAGCTATGGACCTGCGCCCTCAGGGGGAGTGTAACTCCATCGAGCACAGGTTGCCACCCAATACCCCGGTTGACCCCATGACTGACCAGGAGGACCTCTGTCTTGTCTGCATTAAGGTTCAACCTGTTAGCCCTCATCCAGTCCATCACAGCTGTCAGACACTGGTTCAAGGCCTGGGAGGCTTCCTTGCAATTCGGTGGAAATGAGTAGTAGAGTTGGGTGTCATCCACGTACAGATGGCACCCAACTCCAAAACTCCAGATACCCTCACCCAATGGTTTCATGTAGATATTGAAAAGCATGGGAGATAGAATGGATCCTTGTGGGACCCCACAGGTCAAAGGCCATGGGTCCGAGCAGGTATCCCCCAGCTTCACCAACTGGGAGCAACCCTCCAGGAAGGAGTGGAGACACTGCAGTGCAATGCTCCCAAGACCCATTCCAGAGAGCCACCCCCAGAAGGATACCATGGTCGATGGCATCGGAAGCCACTGAGATATCCAGGAGGCCCAACAGGGACACACTCCTCCTGTCAAGCTCTCGTTGTAGGTCATCCACCAAGGCGACCAAAGCCGTACTATGGCCAGGTCTAAAACCAGACTGTGATTGATCTAGATCAGTGGTTCTCAACCTGGGGTCCCCAGATGTTTTTGGCCTTCAACTCCTAGAAATCCTAACAGCTGGTAAACTGGCTGGGATTTCTGGGAGTTATAGGCCAAAAACATCTGGGGACCCCAGGTTGAGAACCACTGATCTAGATAGTTGGGTGTCATCCAGGAATCCCTGGAGTTGGGAGGCAACCACCCGCTCTAGAAAGGGAGGTTAGAAATTGGCTGGTAGTTTTTTAGGACCAAGGAATCTAGGGACACCTTTTTGAGTAATAGATTGTGAGATTGTTTCTGATACCTACTAGATAGGACCTCAAACATCACTGATTTACTGAGGTCCATTTTCCCCCTTGAAACATTTTATTGCATGCTTTTTAAAATTAATCATATATTTATTTTTTTACCAGCAAATTAATCATATATTTTTTTTACCAGGGGAACACTTGCTTAGTGCAGGTCTTCTAGTGTTACCCAGATCAGAACTTACCCATGATGATGTCTTCCAAATATCCAACAACAGCATCGAATTCAGCATCAGAAGGCGAAGAGCTAAGGTAGAGAAGAAGGCAAATTAGATTTTGGTTTCCATGGGAGACAAAATGCCCATTACCACCCTCTAGAGTGGTGAGTCCCAAACTCAAGTCCTCTAGGTGTTTAGACTTCAACCCCCGGAAGCCTCCACTATCGTGGTCAATGATCAGGGACTCCGGGAGCTGAAGTCCAAAACGCCCTGGAAGTATTAAAAAACTCTAAAATTATAACAGCAAAACAACAGAAACAATCAGGGGCATCTAATCACCTCTCAACAAAAGATTGCCCCAGGCACTAACAAGCAACACCAAGGCCATCAAATACTAATCAAGGTGGTCAGTTGAAACATTCACACCTAGCTCCAACAGAGAAGAGTCCTTTGTCCCACCCTGGTCATTCCACAGATATATAAATCCTTTTTCCTAGTTCCAACTCACTGCCTCTGAGGATGCTTGCCATAGATGCAGGCAAAACGTCAAGAGAGAATGCCTCTAGAACATGGCCATATAGCCCGAAAAAACCTACAACAACCCAATGAGAAATAGGTTACTACCAGTATAATTCTTAAATGAGCGCCTTACAGTTCAAGAACGTATTGCCATCTACTGCCATCTAGCCACCGATGAAAGGGATGACAACCATTGCTGTAGCTCCAAACATATTCATCAAAGCCAAATATTCAAATTCGATGCTAAAACCCCATCCAAAATGGGATCAGGCACAAATAAGGTGCACCGAAATATACATTAAACACTTAACAGGTTTCTGGCCATCCTTAAGTGCTAATATATCACATTGCATCCGTTGTTCTATTACCAAGAGAGGTGGAGATATACTGTATATACTCGAGTATAAGCCTAGCTTTTCAGCCCCCTTTTTAGGCTGAAAAAGTCCCCTCGGCTTATACTCGAGTCAAGGTTATTTATTATTTTACTTTGTTATTAGTATCATTTTATTACATGAATTACTTTAATATATTAATTATTATTATTATATTTACATTACTTTATTATTTTATTACATTTATTATTTTACTCTATCTATTATTAGTATTATTATTTATTTAATTATTATTATTACATTTATTATTTTACTTTATTTTTTATTGTTACTGCATTCAAATAAATTATTATTATTATTTATTTATTTTATTTAAAAGTTTTGTATACCGGCCTTCTCACCTCTCTTGAGGGACTCAGACCGGTTTCCAACCATAATATCACATACAATCAATAAAACATCATAATACATATTACAGTAAAACATTAAAACAGCAATTACAATCAATAACTATAATGGTCAGTCGTCACACTAAAATCGTTGCTCATCATCCTCCATCCATATCTCAGGGTGCTGGCTCACTCGTCGAATGCCTGTCTCCATAACCAAGTCTTCACCTGTTTCCTAAATGTCAGGATAGACAGGGCGGTTCTGATCTCCAGTGGGAGAGAGTTCCAGAGTCGAGGGGCCACCACCGAGAAGGCCCTGTCCCTCGTCCCCACCAGACGCGCTTGCGAGGCCGGTGGGACTGAGAGCAGGGCCTCTCCAGACGATCTTAATAATCTTGATGGTTCATAGGGGAGAATACGTTCGGAGAGGTAAACAGGGCCGGAGTCGTTTTTTTATATTATTATTATTATTATTATTATTATTATTATTATTATTATTATTATTATCCTGACACAAAAACACAGTATGACACAGCAAACGAGGTATATATGCTTGATTTCATTATTATTATTATTATTATTATTATTATTTTACTATCTTTATTATTATTGGAAGGATACATAAGCACATTTACACTAAAGATTAGAATAATGATTCAATCAGAGCTGGACAGTCTTATCTTAAATTACAGTTTTATGTAAATATTCAAAAATATTTAACCTACTCATGCCTCAATTAATGTAATTTTATTGATATCTATTTTTATTTTGAAATTTACCAGTAACTCCTGCATTTCCCACCCTCGGCTTATACTCGAGTCAATAAGTTTTCCCAGTGTTTTGTGGTAAAATTAGGTGCCTCGGCTTATATTCGGGTCGGCTTCTACTCGAGTATATACGGTACTTACATGGATACTGCAAAGTTTTCTTCTTCTATTGCCTCCATCGCAGCTCTGTCACCTGTTCGACAAAGCAAATCTTTCAAAACTGAACTCAGAACCCAGTGGGTGGATGTTGGTCAGATTGCCTTCTATATCGCAGAACATAATGTGATCCCCTGGAGGCCTTTTTCCCCCTTTAACCACAGAGAATCATGAATCACGTACTGAATGATGTCTATCACATCTATGACTCCCTGGCCATCTGTCTGGAAGGCTTTGATAGTGTCTTCTTGCAGGGCAGAAGAGGGTTGGACTGGATGGCCGTTGCGGTCTCCTCCAGATCTATGATATTTATTGTGTGTACATGTGTCTGTATGTGTATGTGTGTGATATATAAACAATCTATATAAATAAAAATGTAATGTTCGTTTGTGGGATTAACATAACTCAAAAACAATTGGATGAATTGCTGCCACATTTGGCCACAAGACATTTACTAACCCCCCAAAAAAATGATTTTCTCATTTGGGAGTTGAAGTTGCTGGGACTTATAGTTCACCCACAATCCAAGAGCATTCTGAACTCCACCAATAATGGAATTGAACCAAACTTGGCACACAGGACTCCCATGATCAACAGAAAACACTAGAAAGGTTTGGTGGGTATTGATCTTGAGTTTGGGAGTTGTAGTTCACCTACATCCTGAGAGCACTTGTGGACTCAATGATGGATCTGGACCAAACTTGGCACGAATATTCCATATGCCCAAATATGAACACAGATGGAGTTTGGGGGAAATAGACATTGTCATTTGGGAGTTGTAGTTACTGGGATTTATAGTTCACCTACAATCAAAGAGCATTCTGAATTCCACCAGCGATAGCATTGAGGCAAACTTCCTACCCAGAAGCCCCATGACCAACAGAAAATACTCCAGGCCATCCAGTTCAACTCCTTTCACCAGGGCAAGAAAACGTAAACAAAGCCCTCCTGACAAAGAGCCATCCAGCCATAGGTATAGATATATATGATTCACAAACACAGATATAGTATCCTAGATTTGAAAGGGACCCCTAAAGAAGAACAATAGTATGTTGCATGTTGAACCATGCAGGAAAAGTAAGAGGTATAATTACGATTTGAACCACTTATCCTTTTTATTCATAAATATTTCGTAATGTTCGGAACTCTCCCAAGGTTATTTTAATTTTCACAAGCATTAAGCAACTTTTGTAAAGTTTTGCGATGCAAAGGAGGGATGAGGTGGGCGTGCCTAAGCACAGCCATTGTTGTAGTTTGTGAAGGGAAAGCCCCCAATGGTAGAGATTGCAAAAGGCCCTGTTGTTGAACTACATTTCCCAGCCTGCCTTGCTGCGCATTCGCCAAAACGGCCGAGCAGCAGGCTCCTCCTCCTCCTCCTCCTCCTCTTTTGCATTACCAGCTGCATTCTCCCTCTGAGTTTGCATTCAAACCAAGTTTTCCTTACCTTGTCCCCCTTCTCACCCCAATCTCAAGGTTTGGCAACTGGGGAGTTAGCCAGGCAGGAGGCAACAGGATCCAAAAAGGAAATGGAGCCCGAGATCTTTAGAAGAGCTGAGAGGAATAGACGAGAAGATGAGTTGGTTTCACTTTCTGCAAACCAAAGAATGTTTCAAAGAGGACCAAAAAATCGGTTTAAATGAAAAAGACACATGCTGGGACATTATAATGCGAAAGGGAAAAAAATGATTAAAATATTATAGCAAAACCTCCTAGTATGGGATACCGAGAAAGATTTAATAAAAGACAATATGGCCAATTGACATAGGACACTCCATACTTTTAAAAGAACGGGAAAATGTTTGGAACATCAAACTAAAATTATCTATAACTCAACTGCTCAATCACGATCTATAGTATCTCAATCACTAAATTTATCTTTCTATCTATTTCTCAATCAGCTTCTTTATCTATATAACTCAATCAGTTTCTCTATCTAAATAACTCAATCGTTCTTACAATGGTTTTTTCAGAGTTACCTGCCTGACCAACAGCACATCTGAAGCTTTCTTCTCTACTGAAGGAGGCAGGGGAGACTCCAAAATGGAGATCTCATCCCCTGGAAAAAGGGCGGTCTCTAGACCCAAAGAGATACTTTTCTAAACCAATAACTGCAGAGGGCCTGCAGTCTGGCTTTCCAGACTCTGATACAGTTTAACTTCCAGGACTACCACCTCACTCGTCTCATAGGAAACCTGCTACAAAACAGGAGCTTTTTTGTTGAGTTCCAGGGCCAGAGAAGCAGATGGCGGAAACAGAAGAACAGCCTGCCTCAGGGGAGTGTGCTTGCTCCATCCATGTTCAACATTTACACAAATGACCAGCCACTACCAGAAGGGACAGAGAGTTTCATCTATGCTGATGATCGTGCCATCACCGCTCAAGCAGGGAGCTTTGAGACGGTAGAACAGAAGCTCTCCGAAGCTCTAGGTGCTCTTACTGCCTATTACAGGGAAAACCAGCTGATCCCTAATCCATCTAAAACACAGACATGTGCCTTTCACCTTAAGAACAGACAAGCTTCCCGAACTCTGAGGATGACCTGGGAAGGAATCCCACTGGAGCATTGCAGCACCCAAATACCTGGGAGGAGTCACCCTGGACCGTGCTCTTACCTACAAGAAGCACTGCCTGATCATCAAGCAAAAAGCAGGCGCTAGAAACAATATCATATGAAAGCTGACTGGCACAACCTGGGGATCACAGCCAGACACAGTGAAGACATCCGCCTCTGCTGCTGAGTATGCATGCCCAGTGTGGAACACATCTCACCATACTAAAACAGTGGATGTGGCTCTTAATGAGACATGCCGCATTATCACGGGGTGTCTGCACCCTACACCACTGGAGAAATTACACTGCTTAGCCGGTATTGCACCACCTGACATCCGCCGGGAAGTGGCAGCCAATAGTGAAAGGACCAAGGCAGAGACATCTCCAGCTCATCCCTTGTTTGGGTATCAGCCAGCACGTCAACGACTTAAATCTAGAAATAGTTTTCTAAGATCTACAGAAACACTCGCTGGAACAACTCAGCAAGCGAGAGTTCAAAAGTGGCAGGCTCAAACCCAGAACCTCAATCCGTGGCTGATACCAGATGAGAGACTCCCCCCTGGCACACTCAGAAGACTGGGCGACTTGGAAGGCGCTGAACAGACTGCGCTCTGGCACCACGAGATGCAGAGCCAACCTTCAGAAATGGGGCCACAAAGTAGAATCCACGACATGCGAGTGTGGAGAGGAGCAAACCACTGACCACCTGCTGCAATGCACCCTGAGCCCTGCCACATGCGCCATGGAGGACCTTCTTGCGGCAACACCAGAGGCAGTCCAAGGGGCCAGATACTGGTCAAAGGACATTTAATCAACTACCAAACTTGCAAATTCTGGGTTTTGTCTGTCTGTTTGTTTTTGTTAAATATGTAATACAAAATGTAATACAAATGTCTGGTTACTGATGACACGATAAATAAAATGAACCTCGTATCGGTGCTTGATGTGCTTCCACAGCTTCCCTTTGTTGAGGTGCTCGAAGAGGGCGTCGGCGCCTTGGTCGAAGGCCCGCTCAAAGGTCAAGGCGCCCACGGCGATGCTGAGCGCGAAGGTCGACGTCCGCCGAAAGAGCAAATTGTACACCCGCCGGCTCAGCACCATTGTGGATTTCTGTCTGCACTGCGCATCACCAGTGCTGTTTTTTCCTACTGCGCATGCGTATCTGCCATTAACGAAGCTGTTTCGGAAGTTTTGGAAAAAGAATTAGACTTTAGAATCAAACCACCAGCGCCCCCAACATCCAAAATGAGTTTTGAACCATTTTTGTTGGATCAAACAAGTCTAATAGGCACAGATATTTTTTTTTGTTTTTATATATACACACATATGTACACACACAATAGATAGGGTAGATATAGAAGAGACCCCAAGGGGCTGTCCAGTCCAATCCTATTCTGTCCTGCAAGAAGATACCATCAAAGCCTTCCAGACAGATGGCCATCCAGCCATACTTATGATAGACACATATATGTGTTTGTGTGAATGTAAGCACACACACACATCAAAGCCTTCCAGACAGATGGCCATCCAGCCATACTTATGATAGACACATATATGTGTTTGTGTGAATGTATACACACACACACAAGTTGGAAGGGACTCCAGTGCAACTCTCTTCTGCCCTGCAAGAAGACACCATCAAAGTCCTCCAGACAGATGGCCATCCAGACATACTTATGATAGACAGATATATGTGTTTGTGTGAATGTATACACACACACACACAAAAGTTGGAAGGGACTCCAGTGCAACCCTCTTCTGCCCTGCAAGAAGACACCATCAAAGCCTTCCAAAGTGATGGCCATCCAGCCATACTTATGATAGACACATATATCTGTTTGTGTGAATGTACACACACACACGAGACATAGAATTTTTGAGTTGGAAGGGACTCCAGTGTAACCCTCTTCTGCCCTGCAAGAAGACACCATCAAAGTCCTCCAGACAGATGGTCATCCAGCCATACTTATGATAGACACATATATCTGTTTGTGTGAATGTATACACACACACATACACACACACACAAAAGTTGGGACTTCAGTCCAACCCTCTTCTGCCCTGCAAGAAGACACCATCAAAGCCTTCCAGACAGATGGCCATCCAGCCATACTTATGATAGACACATATATGTGTTTGTGTGAATGTACACACACACACACGAGACATAGAATTTTTGAGTTGGAAGGGACTCCAGTCCAACCCTCTTTTGTCCTGCAAGAAGACACCATGAAAGCCTTCCAGACAGAAGGCCATCCACACATACTTATGATAGACACATATGTGTGTTTGTGTGAATGTATACACACACACACAAGTTGGGACTCCAGTGCAACTCTCTTCTACCCTGCAAGAAGACACCATCAAAGCCTTCCAAAGTGATGGCCATCCAGCCATACTTATGATAGACACATATTTGTGTTTGTGTGAATGTACACACACACACGCACACGAGACATAGAATTTTTGAGTTGGAAGGGACTCCAGTGCTACTCTCTTCTGCCCTGCAAGAAGACACCATCAAAGTCCTCCAGATAGATGGCCATCTAGCCATACTTATGATAGACACATATATGTGTTTGTGTGAATGTACACACACACACACACACGAGAGGTAGAATTTTTGAACTGGAAGGGACTCCAGTCCAACCCTCTTCTGTCCTGCAAGAAGAGACCATCAAAGCCCTCCAGATAGATGGCCATCCAGCCATACTTATGATAGACACATATATGTGTTTGTGTGAATGTACACACACACACACACACACATGAGACATAGAATTTTTGAGTTGGAAGAGACTCCAGTGCAACCCTCTTCTGCCCTGCAAGGAGACACCATCAAAGCCTTCCAGACAGATGGGCATCCAGCCATACTTATGATAGACACATATGTGTTTGTGTGAATGCACGCGCGCACACACACACACACACACACGAGACATAGCATTTTTTGGACAGGAAGGGACTCCAGTGCAACCCTCTTCTGCCCTGCAAGAAGACACCATCAAAGCCTTCCAGACAGATGGCCATCCAGTCATACTTATGATAGACACATATATGTGTTTGTGTGAATGTATATATACACACACACACACGAGACATAGAACTTTTTGAGTTGGAAGGGGCTCCAGTCCAACCCTTTTCTGCCCTGCAAGAAGACACCATCAAAGTCCTCTAGATAGATGGCCACCCAGCCATACCTATGATAGACACATATATGTGTTTGTGTGAATGTATACACACACAAGTTGGAACTCCAGTCCAACTCTCTTCTGCCCTGCAAGAAGACACCTTCAAAGCCCTCCATGCAGATGGCCAGCCAGTCAAAAATAGGATAGACCAGGCCTGGGCCAACTTGGGCCCTCCAGGTGTTTTGGACTACAACTCCCACCATTCCTAACAGCCTGTAGGCATGGTGGGAGTTGTAGTCCAAAACACCTGGAGGGCCCAAGTTGGCCCAGGCCTGGTCTATCCTATTTTTGACTGGCTGGCCATCTGCATGGAGGGCTTTGATGGTTTCCTCTTGCCTGGCCTGCCTCCCATAGCCCTCCCGAGGCCCTCCTCTCTCACCTCAGCCTGGCAGCCCTCCTCCTCGGCCTTCTCCATAGAGTCCCTTCCAAAAGGCCTTCGACGTCCCTGTCCTCCCCCTCCTTTCCTTCCCGTCGCCTAGGCAACCGGCACTTCCGGCATCCGGTGGGAGGAGAGAGCCAATCAGTGGCCAAGGCGGGAGCTTTCTCCTCCGGCCAATGAGCGAGCGCGGAAGGGATAGCCAATCAGGAAGGAGAGGGGGCGGTCCCTAGTTGGTGCCTGGTTTTGTTTGCTTATTGGGAGAACTTAGAAGCAATCTATATATATCTATATATCTATATCTATCTATCTATCTATCTATCTATCTATCTATCTATCTATCTATCTATCTATCTATCTATAGCTTTTAATGTGACATACATATATATATAACTATAATGTATATAATATATATAATGTGATATATATATATATAACTATAATGTATATAATATATATAATGTGATATATATATATATATAATGTATATATATATATATAATGTAATGTAATATATATATATATATATTAAACTTGCTGTGGCCTATAGTAAAACTTATCAAAGTTGAGGTAGATATCTGGACTATTATGAAAGAGAGTTACCTACCTATTCCTTCCCCCTTTTCCTCCCTCCCCCTTTCTCTCCTTTCTTCCTTCTCTACCTCTTTCTTTCTTTCCTTCTTTCGCTCCTTTTTCATCCTTCTCTCTTTCCTTCATTCCCTCCCCCTTTCTTCCTTTGCCTTTCTTCCCTCCCTGTTTGCTTCCTTCTTTCACTTTTTATTTCCTTTTATTTCACCACCATCATAACAATAACAATAATGCAATGTTCTTGTGGGTTTTTTCGGGCTATATGGCCATGTTCTAGAGGCATTTCTCCTGACGTTTCGCCTGCATCTATGGCAAGCTTCCTCAGAGGTCTGCTGGAGCTGGGAAAAAGGGGTTTATATATCTGTGGAATGACCAGGGTGAGACAAAAGGCTTTGTAAGTTGGGCTAGGTGTGAATCTTTTCAACTGACCACCTTGATTAGCATACAATGGGCTGACTGTGCCTGGAGCAAACTCTTCTTGAAAGGTGATTAGATGTCCCTGCCTGTTTTTCTCTCTGCTGTTTTAATTTTAGAATTTTTTTAATACTGGTAGCCAGATTTTGTTCATTTTCATGGTTTCTTCCTTTCTGTTGAAATTGTCCACATGCTTGTGGATTTCAATGGCTTCTCTGTGTAGCCTGACATGGTGGTTGTGAGAGTGGTCCAGCATTTCTGTGTTCTCAAATAATATGCTGTGTCCAGGTTGGTTCATCAGGTGCTCTGCTATGGCTGACTTCTCTGGTTGAAGGAGTCTGCAGTGCCTTTCAAGTTCCTGGATTCTTGTTTGGGCAACGCTGCGTTTGGTGGTCCCTATGTAGACTTATCCACAGCTGCATGGTATACGGTAGACTCCTGCAGAGGTGAGAGGATCCCTCTTGTCCTTTGCTGAACGTAGCATTTGTTGGATTTTCCTTGGTGGGTTTGTAGATTGTTTGTATGTTGTGTTTCCTCATCAGCTTCCCTATGCGATCAGTGGTTCCCTTGATGTATGGCAGGAACACTTTTCCTTTGGGTGGATCTTCATCTTTACTCTCGTGGCTTGTTCTTGGTCTTGCAGCTCTTCTGATGTCTGAGGTGGAGTATCCATTGGCCTGGAGAGCCCAGTTGAGGTGGTTCAGTTCATCTTGGAGGAGGTGGGGTTCGCAGATTCTTTTTGCACGGTCTGCCAAGGCTTTAATGGGGCTTCTTTTTTGACTTGGGTGATGGTTGGAGTTTTTATAATAATGCAATGCATTGCCTCCGGGACCTGACACCTCTCCCATTCCCCCTAAAAGGGTCTCATAGGAATAATAGCATCATAATAATCATAGAAATAACAACCTTTACCCGCCACGCGTTGCTGTGGCCAACCTTCCCTCTTTCTCTCCTTCTTTCCTTCCTTCCTTCCTTCCCTCCCATCTTTCCTTCTCCTCTTCCTTCTCTATCTCTTTCCTTCCTTCCCCCTTTTTCTTTCTCTTCTGGTCTCTTTTCTTCCTTCTCTCTTTCCTTCTTTCCTTCCCTCCCTCTTTCTCTACATCTTCCCCCTTCCTTCACTCCCTCTTTCCTTCCTTCATTCCCTTTTTTCTTCTCTCCTTCCTTCCTTCCTTCCTTCCTTTTCCTTCCTTCCTTCCTTCCTTCCTTCCTTCCTTCCTTCCTTCCTTCCCTCCTTCCCCCTTTTTCTTTCTCTTCTGGTCTCTTTTCTTCCTTCTCTCTTTCCTTCTTTCCTTCCCTCCCTCTTTCTCTACATCTCCCTTCCTTCACTCCCTCTTTCCTTCCTTCATTCCCTTTTTCCTTTCCTTCTCTCCTTCCTTCCTTCCCCCTTTTTCTTTCCCTCCCTCTGTCTCTCATTTCTTCCTCTACCTCTTTCCTTCCTTCCCCCTTTTTCTTTCTCTTCTGCTGTCTCTCTTTTCTTTCCTTCCATCTTTCCTTTTCTTTCCTTTTCTTCTTCCTTCTTTCTCTAACTTTCCTTCCTTCCCCCTTTTTCTTTACCTCCCTTTCTCTTTCTTCCTTCTTTCCTTCCTTCCTGTCTTTCCTGGATTTTGACAGGGTGGGAAGGGGCGGGGTGGGGTTTGGAGGTGGCGTGAAGTAAAAGGAGGTAAGATTGGGGCAGGGGAGTGATGGAGCGTGGGGTTGTGTGTGTGTGCGGCGGCGGGGGGAGTGGGTTTGCGTGTGTGTGTGCGGCGGCGGGGGGAGTGATGGAGTGTGGGGTTGTGTGTGTGTGTGCGGCAGGGGGGGGGCGGGAGGAGTGGGGTTGCGTGTGTGTGTGCGGCGGGGGGGGAGTGATGGAGTGTAGGTTTGCGTGTGTGTGTGCGGCAGTGGGGGGAGTGATGGAGCGTGGGGTTGCGTGTGTGTGTGCGGCGGCGGGGGGAGTGTGTGGGGTTGCGTGTGTGTGTGCGGCGGCGGGGGGAGTGGGGTTGCGTGTGTGTGTGTGGCAGCGGGGGAGTGATGGAGCATGGGGTTGCGTGTGTGTGTGGCGGCGGGGGGAGTGATGGAGCGTGGGGTTGTGTGTGTGCGTGCGGCAGGGGGTGTGTGTGCGGGAAGCGGCGTGGCGGGGCTTGGAGTGGGCATGGCTTCCGCAGAGGGAACATTGGCCGGAAGACTGTGTGCGCGCGCCAGGGAACTTGCGGCTGGGCACCAATGCGCATGCTCAGTTGTTTTGCCGTTTTATGAGTGTGTTGTTGTGTTGTTTTTCATTTTGAGTAGATATGTTTGTACCTTGTGGGTTGTGTTACGGGCATGGGAATTTTGGTTAAGTTTCGTTGGGGGGGTTGTGAGTTTTGTTGTTTTGCCGTTTTGTGAGTGTGTTGTTGTGTTGTTTTTCATTTTGAGTAGATACGTTTGTACCTTGTGGGTTGTGTTATGGGCATGGGAATTTTGGTTAAGTTTCGTTGGGGTTTTTGAGTTTTGTTGTTTTGCCGTTTTGTGAGTGTGTTGTTGTGTTGTTTTTCATTTTGAGTAGATTTTGTACCTTGTGGGTTGTGTTATGGGCATGGAATTTTGGTTAAGTTTCGTTGGGGGATTTTTGAGTTTTGTTGTTTTGCCGTTTTGTGAGTGTGTTGTTGTGTTGTTTGTCATTTTGAGTAGATATGTTTGTACCTTGTGGGTTGTGTTATGGGCATGGGAATTTTGGTTAAGTTTCGTTGGGGGGTTTTGAGTTTTGCTGCCCGGTTGAACCAACCTAACAGATTTATATATATAGACTATGTGATACTATACATATATATGCTATGTATGTGTGTGTGTGTGTATGTTAGGCGATGTTAGGAGCAATATATATAACACTATACATATATACACTGTATATATATATATATATATATGTTTGTGTATGTGTTATCTGATGTTATACATACATATATATGTGGGTATGTTTTAGGCAATATAAAACATATATATGTGTGTGTGTTATATAATGCCTAACAACACACACACACACACACATATATGTTAAGATATATATATGTATATGTATATAACACTATGTAACATTATACATATATACATATACACACGTATACATAGTGTGTATATGTATGTTACTTAGTGTTATATATATTGCTCATAACATCTCCAAACATATATATATACACACATAGTGTGTATACATTATACATATACACACTATGTATATGTGTATATATGTATATATGTGTGTATGTGTATATATATGTGTTTGTTAGGGGATTATATATATATATATATATATATATATATGATTGTTAGGCAATATATAACATATATACATATAGTTCTTGTGGGTTTTTTCGGGCTATATGGCCATGTTCTAGAGGCATTTCTCCTGACGTCAGGAGAAATGCCTCTAGAACATGGCCATATAGCCCGAAAAAACCCACAAGAACTGAGTGATTCCAGCCATGAAAGCCTTCGACAATACATATATACATATATGTTATGCTCTCTCTCTCTCTCTCTCTCTCTCTCTCTCTCTCTCTCTATATATATATATATATATATATAAAAAACACTGTGTAACACTATACATATACACACTGTGTGTGTGTGTGTTTTGGAGATGTTATCAGCAATATATGTAACACTAACATTATAAATATACACACTATGTATATATGTGTGTGTATGTATATATGTGTGTGTTAGGTGATGTTATACACACACATGTTATGCAATATATAACATATATACATATATGTTAGGCTCTCTCTATATATATATAACACTGTAACACTATACATATACACACTATGTGTTTGTGTGTGTATATATATATATATATATGTTTGGAGATGTTATGAGCAATATATATAACACTGTGTAACATACATATACACACTATGTATATGTGTGTATATGTATATATGTGTGTATATGTTAGGCAATTTAGGAGCAATATTTATAACACTATGTAATACTTTACACACACACATATATATTATGTATATATGTGTGTATATATATCTATGTATGTATGTTAGATGATGCTAGGAGCTATATATATATATATATCACTATGTAGACTATACATATACACACTATGTATGTGTGTGTGTTAGGTGATGTTAGGAGCAATATATA